AGACTTTACTGAACTACTTCTCAGTCTAATTTATTTATTTATTTATTTATAAATTTTGAGGCAGGATCTTGGTAAGTTGGCCAGGATAGGCTCCAACTTGTGGTCCTCCTGCCTCAGCCTCCCAGAGTGCTGGGATTTACAGATGTGTGCCACCAGGTCCAGTTTAACATTAACCACTTTAAGTGAACAACTCGATGGCGTTTGGTACATTCTTGGTGTTGTGCAATCCCCACCACCATCTAGTTCCAGAACATCCAGGGCCCAACAGGAAAGCTTGCCCTGTTAGCACCCACTCTTCCTGAGCCACTGGCAACTGCTAATCTACCGTCTACTCCAGATTCCCCGCTCCACTCCAGATGCAGGTTGAGCGTCCCGTTCTCTGTAGTCCTCGTGGGTCCCTGCGCTCCCTGGGCTATGGCAGTTTCTCAGATGGCCCCTTCTTGCTGAGTTTGCTAGTTCTGAGTGGTACTGTCCAGGTGCGCTGTAGGAGGGACCTTATTGGAATCTGATGTTTTTCTCATAATTAGACTACAGTTGCAGGTTTCCCGGAGGAAGACCATGGAGATAAAGTGCTGTGTTCAGCACATGGCTGCGCTTTACTTGTTCAGCACATGGCTGCGCTTTACTTAGTCATTTCTTTTGCTGGGCTGCATCTAGCCACTTTCCTGAGGAGACTCGAGATATCAGCAAGGGGTATGGATGCAAATGGCCTCACTGGGGCCGAGCCTGTATCCACCTCTTCCCACTGAGCCCTCCCCACCTGCCCTAGACAAAGTCACAAGTGAGCTCAGAAGCAAAGGGTCCGAGCCTAACCTTGTGACCTCTCTTCATGCAGGGTTTTCATTTTGTTTTGTTTTCATACTGGGGATTGAACCCAGGGTGTTCGTACTGAGCTGCATCCTCAGCTCAGTTTATTTTGAAACTGGGTCTCTCTGTGTTGTCCAGGTGAGATCCTCCTGCCTCAGCTTCCCACAGTGCTGGTGCCACCACACTAACTCTTTGTACTTATCCCGCAAAGCTGCATCTGGATCAAGAAAGAACTCCAAGGGGAAGGGCTCCCTTGTTTCATCCCAAATTCAGGATCCTCAGAAAAGATTCTCAGTACTAGGCAGGGTGGTGCACACCTGTGATCACAGCACTCAGAGGCTGAGAGGAGTTCGAGTTCAAACCCAGCCTGAGCAAGTTAGCAAGACACTGTCTAAATTAAAAAAGGGATGTAGTTCAGTGAGAAGGCCCTGGGTTTGATTCCCAATACTGCCAAAAAAAAAAAAAAAAGAGAGAGAAAGAAAAGATGGGGACACTGTGGCTCAGAGGAAGGAAAAAAGTGCTCTATTTGCTTAAACCTGATGCTGCCTCCACTTTACCCAGGTTTGTTTCCTGCCCTCTCTTCACACTCACTGGAGAGTCCTGGGCCTGTGCTGTCCGGGATGGTAGGCATTAGCCACACACTACTGTATATCCATTAAAACTAAATAGCATCAACAGTTTAGCTTCTCGGCCACTCTAGCCATGTTCCCAGGCCCAAGTGGCTGCCACATCGGTGCAGATACAGGGTCTTTCCACCATCACAGGAGGGTGGTCTCAGCCTGTCCCGTGGGACAGGTGGGACATTGGGGTAGCCCAGGCCCCTAAAACACGTGGACAGCAAAATGACAATGCAATTCTTTCTCCTTCTCCTTCTCCTTCTCCTCTCCTTCTCCTCCT